AAACACTTCTCAATATTCATAAAATCCAATAATGGATATATCTAATAATTATCATTTTTTACATACTTGCTGTATGTATTGAATACCAAAGTTTTTATCACTTCTTAAATAACAAAAATTCTAATTACAATCAAAGAAAAAATTTAAACTTAATAATTGTAGTTAGTGTTTTTAGATAAGCTCAATAATTAACATAAGACATCCAATAGAAAAAGCATTTATTAAGATGATAAAACCAAACAACAGCTCCATTTATTAATTATTATTTTACACTTAAATAAATAATGAAATAAAGAAAACAATAAAATTCAATATAGTTTATGTTTTAATTGATTTTTTTCAATTCCTAAAACAATCCAATAAGTAATGACAGCTGCAATTATAATACAAAAAATTCCTAAAAATATTATTGTAGGAGTATTACCAAGTAATCCCCATTTTCCACGTTTTAAAAAAACAAAATAATTAATTTCAGAAAGGCTATTGTTTGGAATAAAAATTTTCACATAACAATTAACTGACTGACATTCTTCTTTTTCTCCATAAATAACACAACTATTTTTGTTCGTAATAAAACGAAGTGTAGTTTCATTATATACAGTTTGACTAGAATTTAATTCAAATAATGAAATAAAAAATGGCATTTGTGTGTTTCCTAATAGTTGCAATGTTATTTCATACATAGAATTAGGAAGAAGTTCTTGTGTATTGATAATATACAACGTAGTAGAATTATATTTTTGAGTAGTTTTAACGTGTGTGTTAGGTGGTAATGAATATATTTTTATTCCCTTAACAAAACAAATAAAAGATATTAGGAGAAAGAAATAAGGGTATTTCATTTAATTGAAAATAAGTTCTTTTTTAGAAATAGGATTGAAAATGGAAGTTTTTGAATAAATTACTAAAACCACTTTTTTAGTTAATTTTCGCTTCTTAAAAAAATCAAAAATTTAGAAATAAAAATATAACTAATAATTCATCACGTTTTAATATTTTCAAAGAAATAGTTTCTCGCATTTTTTTTTTTTGAAACTTGTTATAAAAGTTGTTTTTTTTTTTCTGAATTATCATATTCATTCTTTTTGTTTTTTTTTAAAAACCTTTATCACTAAATATCAATATAGAAAAATATTATATACAAATACAATTTTATTAAGTCACAGTTTTGAAGAAGAAAAATATGAATAAATAAAATTTATAAAAGAGTAACTAAAAATATCATCAGTTCTTCGTTGATTTGAATTTCAAAAAGAGAAAATAACTTATTTTTCTTCTCAAGAAAAGCATTAAAAAGAAATAAAGAAAAAATATGGCACACAAAAATGGGTAAAAAAATAAATAGTAAAAAAATAAATAAAATTATAGTTTTAATTGAGAGGGTTGAGAAAAAAAAAAAAAGAGAAGAAAAGAAGAAAACCCGAAAAGATAGGAAAAAGAAAGTATAAAAATCAATACCAAATGAGCAAAAATTCTACCAAATTCTAAAGAAAGAAAAAGAAAAGAATAAAACCATGTTCTTATAAGAATAAAAGAAGAGGAATTTGCATTCAAAGGGCATTCTTACAATCTTAAAGAACAAAAACATCTTATAATTATAATACAAGGATGTCAAACTACACTGCTGGGACTAGTATTACAAGCCCTTCAGGAGATGTTTATCTTGTTCATGGACTTATTTCTAGAGGAGGATTCAGTAGTGTTTATACTGCTCATCTTCATCCAGACCGGACACAAATTTATGCGATTAAAGTAATAGATAAAAGAAAAATACATGGAAAAATGGTAGAACATATTGAACGTGAAATTTCTATTGCAAAAGATGTACACCATCCATATATATTAGGAATGAAAGATGTAATTGAAACTCAAGTTCAATATTTAATGATAATGGATTATGTAGAAGGAGGAGAATTATTTGAAGTATTAAAAACAGAAGGGATTTTATCATTAAGACAAAATATTACAATATTGACTCAAATATGTGAAGCTGTTTCTTATTTACATGAACGTTGTATTTGTCATCGTGATATTAAACCTGAAAATGTATTATGTACAAATTGTGAAGAACCATTTGATATTAAGCTTGCTGATTTTGGTCTTGCTGTTCGGTTTGATGAAGAGCCTATGACAACAAGTTGTGGAACATTACATTACGCAGCACCAGAAATTGTTGGAACAGCAAAGACATATACTGAAGCATGTGATATGTGGTCAATAGGGGTATTAGCATTTGTACTATTAACAGTTAGTTTTCCATTTGATGGAACAGTGGAAGAAGTTAAACAAAAGATATGTGAAGGAAATGTTGATTGGAATAGAATGAAAGGAAAAGATACTTGTGAAGAAGCTATTGATTTTGTTGAAAAGTTATTAGTAGTAGATTCAAGTAAAAGAATGACTGCTCAAGAATGTCTAGAACATCCATTTTTACATTTATTAGATGTAGAAACAGATATTGATATTCCATTAGATATTATAGATGATTTTGAGTTGTAAACATTGTTTAAATTTTTAATTGCATTTGTTGTTTAGTGATATTGTGCTTTTATGTAGAATTATTAAGAGGTTATGTAAAATGAATATTTCAATTATACTCACTTTGTAATATTGAAAATATTTGAGCATCATAATAAGTACCATATAATAGTATTCGTTCTCGTTGAATTCCTTCTTTTATTAAATGAAGTCGTTCACAAACATTTAAACTTGGTTGATTAGTTATTGCAACTTTCAATTCAATTCTATGAAAATGAAGTTCTGTAAAAATAAAGGATATCATTTTTCTTAATGACTGTGTCATTATTCCATGATGTTGAAATTTTGGAGATAACCAATATCCTACTTCACAACATGAATTAGTAAAATCAGTACTTTGAATTCCTATTAATCCACAAAATTCATTATTTTTATTTAATCGAATAGAAAATACTTTTTGTTGATAATTTCTCATTGTCTCTTTAACAAATAATTCACTATCACTGAGATCTTTTACAAAATCAACAAAACTTAAAAACGTTCTTAATTCGTTTCTATATTGGTTTATAGTATTAAATATTTCTTGTTCATCTCCTTCAATTAATTGTCTTAAATAAATTGTGTCATTTACAAAAATATTGTTTGTCATTGTATTTTTTAGTTTTAAATTTACTTCTTTTAATTTGAATTTATTTATTTTTTTTTATTTTAAATCAAAGTTTATTTAATTTAAAAAATAATTTTTAATTTAATTTGAGTTATTCATTTTTTGATTCTTAGACTATTCTATTTTGCTGATAATAACTATTTATTTCTTATTCTACATATATTATATATTCTCTATTAAACATATATTATTTTATATAACTACTTCTTACATTAAATTCAATTAGAAATATTTATTCTGAAAATAAAGACTTATTATTATCTGTTTTATTTGTATTTTTCATTATTTTCTGAGTGATTTATTCTTATTTCATTTTTTCCATAAATTCGTATATTCTTCTCAAACTCCATTAAAAAAAAAACAATTTAGTGAATAGGCTCTTTCACATATAAATTCATAAAAAATGCTACAATATTTATAATACAAAAAAGAAGAATTTTAATAAACTATAAGAAATAATAACTCAAAAAATTTTCTCATTCTTTATATAGTTAAAATACTTTGTTATTTTATTTAAAATTGTTTTATCCAATTTTCAATTAACAATATTAAAGAAATGTATAACAAAAACAAGTATGAAAATGAATATCTTAATGAAAAAAAATCTTTTTTTTGTTATTCAAAAGATTTTAATAAAAAACAATAATAAGAAAATTTTTGTTATTTACAAAAAACAAAAAATTCTTAATTCTTCTAAAGTTTCTTTAAAGAAAATTCAAGGGACTTTTGTTTTTCGAAAAGAGACACATTGAAGGAAGTAAATAGTAATGTAATTAATTTAATTTGTTTAAAGCATCCATGACTTGTTTATTCATATCATCTGTTAAAGGCTAACAAGATTAATATTAAAACTTGAATATCTTTGTGAAGAAAAAACAAACGGTCAAAACAGATTGAACATAATTATCTGAAACTATAGGAAAGAGAGGAATAACAACTAACATTGCTATGGTAACTCCAAAGAGTATAAAAGCAAGTATTAAAGCAGTTGGTGAAAAGAGTTTTTCAGCAAGTTCAGAGACCATAGTTAAACAAAATTAGAAAAAGAGTTCTTTTAATTTTTAGATCAATCATGGAAAAGGACCAACCCCAAACTTCTCAAATGGGTAAATACATTGTTGAATTAGAAAATATTGAACATCAAACAAATAATGTTGAAGATATGTTTGTTATTGTTTTTTTCTTAAATAGAAAAAATAAATAAATTACTATTAGGTTAATGTTGTGTTGTTATGATATTAACCAAAATCAGTCTGAATATAATCAAATTGTTGATGATGTAAATCAACTTAATACCAATTTACTTTCTATTCAAGAAAAGCAAAAAAAGTTATCTTCTATTATAGAGTCAAATCAACAACAAGCCGATAAATTAACTCGATTAATTATGTTAAAAAACCCTGACTTACTAAATTCTTTTAATGGTACTTTATTACGAAAAAAGTCATTATGTGAAATAGAACAAATGATCGTTTTACTTTCTCAACAAATACAATTACTTCAAAATAAAATAGATAGTATTACTTTTAAATCTCTTCCTATTGAACAAATAAATAACCTTAAAAATCAACTAATAAAACAGTTTGTTATCCTTTTTTTTATTAAGTATTGTTATTTAATATATTCATTCTACTTACTTTAAAAGACGACAATCATTAGGTCAATTAATGATATATTCCTCACTTATGTGATCTTTGAAGATTAAATTATTAAATGATTTTTTTTTGTTAGTCTAATCAATTTTGAAAAAATAAAACTAAAAAGTAACTTTATGTATCAATAAAAATCCTTTCTATCATTCCTTCTTCTAAGGAAACAAGTCTCATCTTATCATTATATTTTGTTAAAATAAAATAAATCAATAATCATTTGGAAGTCCAAATTTTGTTGGATCAAATTCATTAAGTGATTTCAATTGCATATATGCTTTTTCAAAATAAGGATCATTTGCACATTCTTTATCTGGAATAGCTACGGTATAAGCTCCAGATGCAATTCCTGCTTGAACACCAAGTACTGCATCTTCAAATACAATTGCTTCTTTCATGTTAGTACATCCAAGTAAATGACCAGCATGTAAAAATATTTGTGGATTTGGTTTAGCTTCTTTTACATGAGGGTCATCTCCAAGAACAATTGCATCAAAATAATTGAGCATCTCTTGGTTTTTAACCATTTTTTGTTCAAAAACAGATTTAGTAGTTGAAGTAGCAAGAGCTATAGGAATGTTATGTCTTTTAAAATAATTTAAAATCCTCATTGCTCCTGGTAATGGTTTTACTGTTGACCATAATTTATTTAAATGATCAATTTTATATTGTATTGCATGTTCAATTGTGTCATTAATATGACAAATATCCATTAACCGTTTAGTTGCAACCTCAATATGTCTTCCCATCATTTCTTTTTTAATTTCATAAGTAAATTTAATTCCATTAGCATATTCATCTAAATATTGTTGAGTAACAATTGTATATAATATTTCTGTATCAAGTAGTGTCCCATCGAGATCAAATATTGCATATTTTATTTGTGGAGTTTCAGACATATTGAAAAGAAATGATATTTTTATTAATTTAGTTTCTTATTTTTTATATGATTTTTCTGTTCGTTATTTTCACTTTTTTATATTTATTAAATTCTTTTACTATTTTCTATAGTACTTTTTATCTTTTCTAAAACCAAAGCCGTAAATTTGTTCATTCTATAAGTTCGAAAAGAACTAAGAATAAGTTGGCTCATTATATTGTTCATGTCACAACCACAAAACTATTCTTTCTCTAGCTTATCATCAAGAAGAACTGTTATGACACCTAAGTTCATGCTTGAACATGAAAGATTAACGGAACAAGTACAAGCATCAGTTCGCACTATCTCAACTCCACCTTCTTTATCAACAACCCCAAAAGAGCATGAAAGAAAAGAATGGATCAAATCACATAGAACAACTACTAGTTTAAGTTCTTATAGAACTTCATCAAATGCAAAGCAATTTCTTGGTCGTTCAAAAACACTTGAAGAAGATAATGAAATGTTTAAACCTACAACCCCACCATCTCCATCATTTGTTCCAGTTGTACCTAGAATGTGGGTTGCAATGAATCGTCAACCAACAAAAGAAGAAATATGTAAATCTCCAGAGATATATAAAGATTGTTTGTTGTTACTTTTAATTTAAATTAATCAATTATAATATAATATTTATCTTTCTAGTTAATTGTTTTGCTGAAGATAGTCAAGGATGGAAAGAAAAATCAATATTAGATCAGTTACCTTTTTATGCTACTGCTAAAGAAATTAAAATACAAATATGTACTTGGAATATTAATCAGGGTTTATATGATCAAGAAATTGTTGATAAATGGACATCATTATTATCAGAAAAACCAGATATTGTTGCTCTAGGTGTTCAAGAATTAGATATGAGTGTTGATGCAATTATAACTGGAAAAAAATATAGTGAGCGAGCAGAACAATGGAAAGATGTTATTTGTAAATCTGTTAATAGGAATGGAGGAAATGAATATGATGAATCAGGATGGTATCAGCTTTGTGGAATTGTATTATTTGTATTTGTTCATAAACATATTAAGAGCCAAATTAAAATGTTTGGATTATCAGAATGTCGTACTGGAGCGATGAGTGGAAAATTAGCAAATAAAGGAGGAGTGGCAATAGGAATGAAAATTTATGATTCAACCATTTGTTTTGTTAATAGTCATTTAGCAGCACATCAAGAATTTTGTGAAAGAAGAAATAAAGATTGGGAAGAGATTAGTAAAATGAAAATTAAATATTATAATGGTACATCATCACTTTCTATTCCTTTATTACAACATGACGTAGTAATATGGATGGGTGATTTAAATTATAGAATAGATATGGAAGATAGTGAAGTAAGAAAACTAGTTCAAGAAAAAGATTTAACAACTCTTTATCGTAATGATCAATTATTTAATTCAAGAATGAAGAAGAAAGTCTTTCAAAATTTTAAAGAAGCTAAAATTACATTTTTACCAACATTTAAAATTAAAATTGGTAATGGAGAATATGTAGATAATAGAGTTCCTTCATGGTGTGATCGTGTATTATATAAAACAGAAAGAAGACATGGAGTTATTGTAGAAAAATATACATCATTTGAATTATATAATTCAGACCATAAACCAGTTAGTGCATTTATGAAAGTGTATTTACAACAAATTAATCAAGAAAAAAAGAAAATGGTTGAAGAATTTATGGATAAAGCTGAGAAATGGTATTCAATGGTTGTTGTTCCAGAGGTATCAGCATCAATGACATATTTTGAATTTAGAGGAGTAAATGTTCTTACAGAGTATAGTCAAGAAATAAC